AGATAATGTGAGGATATGAACTTTTTATCATTAACTTATTTGTTTATCAAATGAGGAAGATAATGTGAGGATATGAAGTTTTTCTCATTCTAAATTTAAATTTTAATTCTAATATTTATATCAATAAAGCTTCTCATTCTTTTTAGCATTTAATTATTTTAAATTCTGAAAATTTTTAATTAATAAAATTTAAGTTATCCTAATCGTTAGATTTAAGGAAATTTGCATAACTGGAAGATTATTATCAGCTTATGTTATATTTATTATCAAATCTGATTTTTTCCTGTTCTTAGTTGGTCAATAATCTATACTTCGTTAAATTTTCCTCATTCTGCAAAATTTTTGCATCGCTATAAGAAATAAAGAGACAGCCATATCGACTATTTCTCATTATCTCATTATCTTAAAAACAATGACATTATCCGGCATATGTTCGATATTATATTTGACCGACTATAGCGCAATTTTTCATATCTATACACTAATTAAATTGATACGAAATATTTGGCATCCTAACAATACATTTGTCATATATCATAAATGTTTAGACACTTAAATGTATTTTAGTTGTTCTTCTACTTTTCACTATTTCATTTGTGCTACTTTGACTTAGTTACCAATATTTTCTGTAATGAAATTAAAATGCGGAAAAAAGAATTATAGATGAAACCTGCGAAGATAAGAATAAATGCTACTTAAAAGCTTTAACAGTATTGTTTAGAAGGTATTAACGATATGCTACTGCCATATTATGAATTTATAAGTTATAAGCGATCAGTGAAAATTCGATCGTAAATGAAGAATATATGGAAAATTCCGTATCGGATGCATTGCAAAATTTCAATGACAAAATATTATGCAGTAATTTTATATTTCATTTCGATAATTAATTTCTTCCATTTTGAAATTCAATTTTAATTTTCAAATTTTACGGAATTCATTTTGCTTCAGAAACAAATGAATTTGTAATATGTGATTCATTTTATTGCTGTAAATAAAATAGAATTCAAAAAAGTTGAAGAAATGGAATCTTTCGCTAAGAATCTTTAAAAATTCAATCATCACATTTACAAAATCAAAATATCCTTCATAATTCGTTTTTGAAACTTTCAGCAATTCATACTTGTATTTGTTGATGACAAATATTTCGTATCAATTTGATTAATGTATAAATATTAATGTGAAAGTGACCATTATGAAAGTTACAGAGATATTTTTATGTTTGTCGTGCCATTAAAAGAAAACATAAACGATTGAATGATCGAAGAGGAAAAAGTGAACTTTTTGTGGGAAAGAAACAGGATTTTCTGATCATCATATATTTTACCTTAGAGGCTATAAAATATTCAAATTCTTCATTACTACCATATTTGCTTGTCATCGAATTTTACCATCATTTAGCTATTAATCATCATTATACGACAATACGACAATCCAATCTTCAAAAATGCAATTACACATTTATAATACCAAACATTGACGGAAGAAAGGAAATCTATAAGTAAACATAAGACGAAGGATTAGTTCGATGAATTCAAATTAATTTTCATTGCTTCGCAGAAATAATTAATACAAAAGGTCATAGGACAATCTTTCCTTTTACCTTCTAAAAATGTTGCTATTTTATAATTGCCAAGTAATTTTTAAAACTTCACTTCAAATTGTAAAAGAGTCAATACAGTTATTATCGTCGTGCTATATAGATGGTCTTTGATATCGTGCTATATATAAGGTCTTGGAAATTACAAATTAATAATAATCTCATTGAATAAATTTTTGAGGATATCTTAAAATCATTGCTAAAAAAACAATCTATCATTTGAAAATTTTCAGAATACTGTATTAACATATCGAATAAAAAATATTTGACAGCCATTATTTTATTTCACAATTATTTCATTTTCGTTTTCAAGCTTCTCTCTTTATCATTTTCATTTTCAATAAGTCAAAGAAAATTTCATTTATCATCTATGCAATGAACAGTAACAGATCATTTGATCTGTCAATAAATTGTTATTATTATTATTTCCAAATTTCACCTTTAAATATTTATTATTACCTAGAGATTTTCCCAAAAGAAATTGATAATCGCTGATTCATCATATTCAAATGTTTATTTGTAAATTTTACATTTTAAATAAAGTCATTCGTTTCAAGGACCGCCCTGTAAACTGTTGGACAATAGAATAGTAAGGGACTGGAAAGATTGCTGAAAATCGCATATAAATTGCTGGCTATCCGTTCAGTTTCTCTTTTTGAATCTTTTCAGTAGAAAATCCTCATTGTTACCAATACAATTGCAAATACTGGATAATGTTCTACTACAATATACGATCACTTTCCTACATTCTGATTTCACTTATACCTGTCGCTCTTCCGGTAAAACTTTTTCTTCAAAAATCTTCTGAATTAATTGTAGAAATTAATTGTTTTTGGTATAATTATTTTATGTATTATAACTTGAAGAAATTACTAGCAAATATTTAATGTCTAAATTTGATTTTTCAACTCTTTCTTATCCTAATTAGCATAAATGATGAAAAAAAAAGGCTTTGACTATTTCTTTCTTTCTAAAAGTAACTGATTCTTTCTTTCTTTTCTGACAACCGCTTCATAAAGTCAAAAGACATAGATAGTTTTACTCACCAAAATTAATGAAGAGAAATTTTTTTTATAAGAAATATTATCAAACAACCTCATTTGCATTTTCAGTGCCTTTCAAATGGTATATGCGGTCCAGGTTTTGGTGGCATTGGTGGATTTGGTGGATTTGGTGGACTTGATGGTTGCCATCCTCAAATTCAACCGTTACAAGCAGCAACCTGCCAACCACCTTGCGGTCCAGGCTTTCGATGCGGTCCATATGGTTGTACACAATTACGAGCACGAGCTCGTGGCGCAAATGTTTTCAAACCAGATGTGGAAGACGAAGAATCAAGAGTAAGCTTGGAAAGATACAAGTTTTTCGTAATCAATTTGAAATTTACTTTAAATTTATTAGAAGAATGAAAATAGGTATAAGTTGAAATATATTAGCAAAATTAATCAGTGCGAAAACTTCGTCATCAAACTTTTAAAAATTGTAAATTATAGAGTCCTGATGAAATGTTCATGGATTGCTGTGAAAGTAAAGGATTACCAAAAGCTTGCTTGCAAAAATGTTCCATGCGTGATTACACGAAAGATGCGGTACTCTAAATATTATAACTAAAACAGAAATGTGATTTAAAATCGAATAAATAGTCTTTGAATTTCCATGAAGTTAATACTTTGAAGTTTGAATTAGATCGTAGAAAATGAAAGTAAATTAAAATCTTCTTTATAATAACTCTCTTACCTTACTTTGATACCTCTAATATAAAATCGTTATATTATTTGTCAAACAGAAACTTTTCTTGAACCTACCTGACGTATTAAAATAATGACTTCATATGGCTGAATACATATTTGTTTCACTTATTACTTCAAAATTTTTTGTATTGCATAAGTCTAAATCAACCTGATAAGATAGGACTGTATTAGAAATCGATGCTACATTTTTCGACACATACAAAACGAACTATTTTTTTTAGATAAAACAATTTTAGTTAATTAATATTAAATTTAATCATTTTAATGATATTTTTGATGAAAAAAGATCTTTCATTGTTTTATAATTTCTTTCACTAATTTTTTAATTTTAACATTAAAACAAATCATGCAAATACTTAATTAATTTAATTCTTAATTCATTTAATTCAATTCTCTTTCAACAATAGTTATTTATGTTTCAGTTGCTAAACATGTATTTTAATCATGATCCTTGTCCAATATCGGCTGTTGCTGAAATACAATTTTGTGCTGCACAGGGACGTGATCATCGTCAATGTTGCGCTAGAAATGGTAAAATCTTTGTTTCATTTAAAGTTTATTTTTATCCTTTTATAACATACCTCACTTTATACTACTAATTTAAATTTCATACATCATTTGACCGTTATCGAAATTCAGCTAACAACCTATTCTCTACTTCGTCGATTTTTATTAAGGAAAATATTAGAATTTGTATATGGTTATAATTCATATGGTAAAGTGCTATATATTGATTTTAAGCTTTATAAATAAATTTGTTTATCAAAAATATTCTTTAATATCCTAAAAATGATTTGAAAAAGTTGTCTGATAATTGTACTTTAATTAAGCGATGAAAATCATTTAAAATTAAATTCATTTAATTTACATTTATGCTTTTACATGCTTTTATCTCTTTTGTTTACATAAAGAGTGACATATTGTATCGTAGATTTTAGACTTTTGTTCTCAAATTCTTCTAGATTACTACTAAGAAGATCCTTTCCTGCCAGCTACAACGCCTTACTCATTATCAATTATCAAACTTTCATATACAAAAAAAATTCTTCCTAGTAGCATTTATATCATTGTATTTACAATATACATCAATAATTTTTGTTAATTATAATACGTTTAATTGAAGGAGTTGGAACAACATTAGCCGGTGAAAAGTGTTTAATATTCTGTGATCAACGTCCAGGCAATGTCACACAACTGGATTATAGCTATTTAATTTGCTATGATCGTTTTGAGAGTATTAAAAGCTGCTTCTGGCATGATATGATGGTGCAAGATTCATTGCAAGAATTTTCCGAACATTTTTAATTTGCTAATTTTACTGTATTACTTTATCGATTTATTGTATTTTCCCGTGTATTCCCAATTATTTCTATGTTTGCATTATTTATGCATTTTTCAAACGATGATTACTTTCGGTGGAAAAATTCAATTTTTGTTTGCTTTTAAATACAGGGAAATGCAGGATCTTAAGTTTTAAAGTTAATTTAAATGAGATAATTTTAATTTTGAAAGCATTGTAAAAGGTCTGATATTTTCTGAAGCTTTAAAAACAATTGAATATAATGTGATTAATGATTTATTAAAAATTTATAATTAGAAATAAAAAATGTTACACGATTCTTTTACATCTATATCACTCCTTCTGGTTTATCATAAATCCGATCTGAAGGATCATTTACGTTTGCTTCAGTACGTACGATATCTTTCGTACAGTTCCTTAGAATTATGGAATCTAAATTAACTTTACCTGATCGGATCAATTTCATTCGAGATTTTTTGTTTTTGTGGAAAATTGCAAATCTTTCATATTTTGCAAAACGATAATTAACTGATAATTAATAAAAATAATAACTAACTTTGTGTAGAAGTTAATTATCATTTTCAAGTTTTTTATATACTTTAAGAAATTTCTTCAATTTTAATATTTAATTAACAATTTATTTAGGCTATAAAATTCAAAGCTATTAACTATAAACAAAAAAAGTTGAAAATTTCTAATTTTATTCCACATAGAGGAAAAATAAAGCAAAACTTAATTCACTAGGAAACTAAGGAAAAGTATTGATTTTCTGAAATTTCTTCATCACCATTGATCTGTGACCTTATAGGTCAAATCAAATATTAGATTTATTCTAACAAAATACTAAACATGCAAATTAAACTAATTAAATTAAATTTAAAAGAAACGCGAAATGGTATTGATTTTTGATTTTATTACAAAAATAACCACAACTGTTACCGACTTTAAATAATACCGGAAAATGTATGAAAAATTGTTACGCTTCTCAATGCCTATTCTCTTCGTCTTTAATGTTTCTGTACTTTAAGTGAAACTGTAAAAGTTCTTAACAAAAATTAACAGCCTGTTTGAACATCAAAGTTAATTTTCAAGAATGGAATGATAATACGAAAAATTCGAAAAATACATTTCATCCCATTGTTTTAATTTTATTTCTTAATTAAATTATCAATGATTGATAATATTGAAAGAAATAAAATTTTGTGATATTATGAAATTTACGAATTAACCTGAAATTCATTTTCGTTGAAACAAATAATATTAATGAAATATAAATAAGCTTCGAAAATATATATGAAATAATATGTCAAATGTCAAATAGACATTGTAATTTTGAGCAAAACAATTAATTTCAATTGCAATTAAATTTAAGAGAAAGAAATTATCGATCCATTTCGAAGTACTATTACGAGCACTTCATTAATTCTGAATAATTTAAAATGCACAAAATTGGGCGATTAATTATTAATAGATCAAATGGTCATTACTTTAAAATAAAATAAAAACAAAAGAATAATTTTGTTTCATTTCACCTTTAGCTCATCTCTTTCTATGAAAGATATATGCAAATGGCGATATTTGCAAGCATATAATTTATAATAATCTCTTTTTAAAAGATGTTTATCAAGGTAAATAATTAATTAACTATTACAAAAGACAAATGATTAATGCTCCATGCAATCGAAATAATGTAGAAATTAAACGATTTTATTTTATTGTTAAAATTGAAATAAACCAAAGCAAAAAAAAAAAAAACGTGAAAATTTCCACTTCCGGGGAATCACCGCAAACTATCAATGAGCTTTTTTTATACGTAACAGTGTAAATTTTGCAACCGTTTTCTGTCAACCCTTTAAAATGGTGACAAATGACCGATTTAATAAAAAGTAACCATTTTTTGAAGTGTATGTTTGTCTGATACTTCTTTCTCTATATATATATATATATATGTATATTATATATATATATATACATATACATGTTATATATATGTACGTTTGCGCATGAGAAGGAGGGAAGAAGTGTTTGTGGTTCATTAAAAATCAAATCATGTTTGGCTCCTCTACTTTCTCACTTGTCAACCATTTCCGGTGTTTTAAGAACGACGATAAGAAGATGCGAAGATTGTCAATTTTCTTCAAAGAAATATAAATGGCATTGTTTCCATCTCCACCTCTTTTCGCTACCTCATTGTCGAAAAACCCAAAGCATTTTTGCAAACGAAATTCATCCATTCCTATATTATTGGCACTTCCGGTAAAAATTTTCTTGATTACATGAGGTTTTACGGGGTAGTTTTTTCGTTTCTTTCTCTGCTATATTACTGCTAAACATTGACGCATTCTCTATAACATATCAATCTCTTATCATTTTACCAAGTTATCATTGTTTTTGCAGCCTGAAATTATTGCATGATTTAATTTTCGATCATGTCATCATTACCGTACATCAGTGTTACAATTAGTTCACCATCTACATTTTATTTTATACTTTTGATATTACCAAGCTATACGGTTGGATTAACCTTGGAATATGTACCAGATTTAGCACTTACAACTAGAGAAAATTATGAAATATCGAGTCCAGAAGTAAGTTAATAATTTAACAAAGCTATAAAAAAAATTATGTATCATCTTATTGAACTCATTTCGAATTTTGTATTACCTCTATTATAAGAAATTGATTATTCAATTTGAAGGATTTTTTCGATAAATATATAAGTAAAGCAAAAACAATAGTAAATGAATGATATTTCAAATAAGTGAGAGGAAAGTGAAAAAATTTGCATATTAGAATACTCTTTTTCCAACTGTTGAAAATATTCTTTTTCAACTGTTGAAAAATATTCCTTTTCAACAGTTGAAAATATTCAACGATAGTTTAATATCAATTCATTTCAAATATTCTTTTTTAAACTGTTGAAAATATTCAACGATAGTTTATTTAAATTCTTAGGAATTGACCCAGGAAGAGGAAGGAAAACAACAGGACACAAAAATTAGCCAATCAAAGAGTGTCACAGAGTTATTCACAGAACTTGGCCAAGAAAATAATGCTAAATTTGATAATAATTTGAAAAAAAATGTTGGAATGTTGATACGAATAACACCACGAATGATCGATTATTGGGCAACGGTAAGATTTTATGAAATGAAGAGAAAATGAGAAAAGCATATTTGTCTTATTTTCTAATATCATATTTTCCTTACATCTATCATATCATAAACAATAATGATAAGATGTGAAAAGTTAAAAAAAAAATGAGTAAGATATTTGATAAGAAAAAATGATAAGAAGTGATAAAATGCTTCTAGAATTATTTTTCAGGAATTGAAACAGATCTTTCAAAAGGAGCTGGAAAATAAAGAATTGCCAGAATTTTCACGTACGTTAATGAAGTTAAACGTATCAATTCTTATGCCACGAATTCATAATATAACACTTCCGAGATTCAGTTATAAGGTTTGATTAAAGATTTTCCTTCAATAAAATGAACAAGCATATTTGAACAAAATATTCAACAGTAGTAGAAATAAATGAATTAAGGATATGATAACAAAAGAAAATATGATTCCGAAGCCAAATAACAAATTTATTCATAATTAATCCAATTTACCTGTAATACTTTCAAGGTATTGGTGGTAGAAATACAAAATTCATACCTTTTCTCTTACTTCTGCTTATTTCAGTTTATTAATTCAAAAATATTTTGCCTTAGCATTCTATAGAAAATATTTTATATATTTTTCTTATTAATGAAAATTTAAATTTCATTTCAAGTTTCCGCAAATGTTACTCAAACTTGCAAATTTCATAGTATTAAAATTTTAGGTGCATTGCAATAATACCATGGAGATAATATTACATGGAGGTTCAGCACAGCTGTTAAGCTCTTATCGGGCGGTTTATCGAACCATTCGTGAAGGGCATTTAGAAGCAAATATGAGCGACTTCGTAATCAATTTGAAACTTAAAATTTCTACAACATTTGCTGGAAAATTATTGGTAAATATATTTATATGCATATTTACATATGCATATATATGTATACTATTAAGAATCTCATTTAATAGCAATTAGTCGAATTTTCTGACTTTTAGGCCTACAATCGTTGCTCAATAATATTTATAATTCAATCAAAGTAATTCTTAGAATAACAAAGTATTAGGTATATTATGTGAGAAGCCTAAAAAAGCCTTAAAAAAAGTTCATCAGCACTAAATTATATATGACTTTCAATTGTAAGTAATTATTTAAAAAGTTAACAAATCACTATTTTGTTTGAATTTAAATCTTCTAGCTGGAAGATATAGTTTGTGGCGCAGAAGTACGATCAATTAGCATTAAGTTGACACCAAAATTACACGAACTGGTTGATCAAGGTTTGCGAGCAGAATTAGATGAAACGATCTCTGTTACTATCTGTGAAGCACTAGAAGCTTTTACAAACAAATTTGAACAACGTTTGAATAAACTGATACGCTCACCAGTCATTGAAATCAAAGTAAGCAGGGTATTTTTAAATCTTTTTGAAATCGTTTTAAAAACTTTTTTAAATATGTGGAAAATGAAATACGACAAACTTGATCCACGTATTGCAGTAGCATTTCTAATTTTCAGCACAAATTCTCAGTTTATTACACAATCCCAAAATAAGTCCTAAACGCCAACCATATCATCTTCTTGGCTTATTTCAACAATGTTTCATAATAAGCCTAAACGCCAACCATATCATCTCCTTGGCCTATTTGAACAATGTTTCATAATAAGCCTAAACGCCAACCATATCATCTTCTTGGCTTATTTCAACAATGTTTCATAATAAGCCTAAACGCCAACCATATCATCTTCTTGGCTTATTTCAACACATTTCATTTGTTGTTTAAATAAGCTTAGATCTTTTTAGCTTCTCTTGAAAAACTTTATGAAACTCTCTGTAATGTTAGCGAGAATTTCATGAATTTTCTCTTTAGATTAATGATACTGTAACACATCTCCTCATTGATACCACGATAAGTAATGGTATTTCATTAACTGAGGACTATTTCGATTTTCCACTTCTTGGTACTCCTACCGTTGAAAAATTGAAAAACGGAGCGCATCTAATGGTTCGTTTATTTTACAAATTTTCGAAGAAGAGCGTTAATTATATGAAATAGCTATTGCATTATTAATTAATTATTCTATCAAGTTTAGAAATAATTATCAAAAATTTGATTAGACAGTTTACATTAGTGTATTTTATTTCCCAATTAGTTCAATCCACCATTTTGTTAATTAATCTAAGCGTTATAAATACGTTTTAGCTGCTTTACTTTTTTGCTTTTCATTTTTCTTTTTGAAAAAATTAGAAATTTTTAGAAATCACCGGACGATAAAGTAGAAATGGTTTATTTGTATGTGTCAGAATCGGTACTTAATATGTTCCTGAAACAGCTTGCAACATTTGGCGATACAGCATTGCAATTACATGCTAATCCAGAATTCCAGAAGATGCTAAGTCTAAAATGTTCGGAAGATGAAGAATGTATGGGAGATTTGCTACAGGATACAGAGTTGTATATTCCCGATTCAGGTATGTTCTTTTCCAAATTGTCTTCAATTTTGCATATTATCGTTTTATGAGAAATTAAGAAATTGGCTATGTTAGTAGAATAAAAGTGACAGTCAATGAGTATTTTGATTTACTAAATCGCACTATTATTTGTTATCGAATAGATATTTATCAGCAAACTGAAATTTATTAAAAATAAAATATTTATTTATTAAGAATATTTAAGCAATCGAATTCAGAATTAGACACTACAAGATATTAGCTAAAATTTAGGAGTTGAAAAAATTTGCCCTGTCTCTAAGGTCACCTATTTAATAGAAAATATAATCAGGGATGAAGGTGCTTTATGGAAAGAAATTTGTTTAATAGCTACAGCAAATGTGAAATATGTGTAAATTCAGGTTGTATGATCATCAAAATCCGATCACCATTAGTTGCATCCGTTCGAAATGGCTTTGCACTGATTAATTTGCATCTAACAAGTTTTATAACTTACAAACAGGAAGATATGGATGTGAAAGTATTGGAATTTGAATGGCTTGCAACAATACATATCAGCAACGAATATTTGAATGAACATCTTGCTGAAAGAGTACAAAATCATTTATTTTCTAGTACAATATATTTGTAAAGTTTTAGATGTGTTAACCATTCAACGTTTATTTCATTGCAAGGCATCAATGCAACTTATTAAAAATAGCTCTCTCATATTGTTATGAATATTCTTTAAGCAATAATTTTTGTTAACCAAATTTTACTCAGATATGAACATCGGGCCTATAATTATTTACCGTACTCAAGCCATGAAATGATTGGATACAATATTTGCCCTACTCTGGGCTATAAAAAAATAATGTGACCTGTATTTCAGCATCAGTCAGCACAGAACACGAATGCAACATTGCAAGTGGTCAATTTAATGATAAGTAATATAACACCTTATGTTGAAATGATTCCGAACTATGGTGAACACCTTTTACGATTAATTTCTTCAAGAAAAAAACTCTTAGAGGTTAATTTTGATGTTCAATTTTTTGAGACAGTTCATTTAATGAGTATTTATTGTGAGTGAAGAAAGATGAGAAAACTTTTGATGAAATATAAACGATTGCATAGAAGAAGGAATTCAAAATTTAGACTTGATGATCGAACATATTATTTTGATAAATAACAAAGATATCGTATGGTTGGCTGATTACGAATATTTAAACAGTCTTTTAATTATACTGCGGAAAATAATTTTAATCAATACTTCACATATCTTTTATCCAGCAGTCTTTCTTTTTCTTATCACTCTTGATCAATTTTTTATTAAGTTTAAAAGTATAATAACGTATAAACGTATAAACATATAATCAAACGTATAAACGTGTAATCAAACATATAACGCTTATAATTGTTTAGAAATTATTTACGGAACAGTGTTTGTTAGCAAGAACAACAAGTACATTGTATAAAGCGGTGTATTGTACAGCAACTTTCCGGAATGGTACACTTGTGATTGCTACAGGTTTACAATGGAATACAGAATTGTTTTATCAGTTTAGTTTGTTCAGTTAAGTTTAACTAAGCGGCATGTGAAAAATTTGTATCATAATGAAAGATCTGTATCACGAACGAGCTTCTTTTTTTTTTTTGTCAGTAAGTTAATCAGTATCATAAAGCTTTATCATGCTATCATGCTAAGCAGTATTATCATCATGGCATATCAATGCATCTGATTTTTGTATGACAATGTAATTAAAGTCTTAGATAAAATCATTCCTAAATAATTATCAAATTATTTTAATAATTTGAGATTTGCTTTTTCTTGCATTGGGAACAGTTTTTATCATAGTCCTATTTAAACTTTTGAGCGAATTTCAATAATTTGATTTAATATGAGATCGCTGGCAAAAATTTTTCTGATTAATTTTACATATGAAATTAGATTGTTGAGTAGTGATTAAGTACTTTCTAAATTTTTATCTATCACTAATTAAAATGCATAATTTATATCTCCACCTGCAGTTGCATTTTTTTAGTATCTCAAAATCTATCCATTCGCAAAAGAAGAAATTAAGCTGTGCTACGATTAACAACTAATCCTGCCTATATTTCTATCAAAATTACACTTCAGAATAGCAGATATGATTTCAGTAATTAAAATGTATTAACTAACATATCTACTAGGTTGTATATATTTTTAATGATCTCATCCGATCGCTTGTGATAATGTTAATTCATTCTTTGAACCTGTAAACATGCTGTTATGAGATTATTATGAATAAACGCTCATCATATTTCTATCGCCAGAAAATGCAGAAAAGCAAAATGAGGGAAAAAAGGTACAGTCAAATTTTATCTACAGATAATCTGTAATCATTGAAGCTTTCATTTCTTTTGAGATAATAAAAAATGCCATTTTTATGTTGCCGCGAAATTAGTTACTAAAGTTACAGTCATGGATTTAAAGTACGGTAGTTTCATTCAGTATACCGATAGCAGTAACATATTCAATCAAGGTTCTTAATGAAGGGTGATCGTCTAGCTGCGAAAAACAGTTGTGAATTCTTGCTTTAAAGAAACTGACTGCACCCGATATTTTACAATAATGATAGACCGGTGGTTACTATGAAGTAAACGGCATTCTCGAAATTCAATAATTAAACTAAAATTTGACGGATTGAATAAAATTGCAAGTGGAATTTTGAATTTATATTAAAGTTAAAGTTTTGAATAAAAATTCTTTGGACTTTTATAAAAGTTTTGATGCAAAACAGATCTTCTGACAAAATGTTTATCAATAATTCATGCTTAATCCACAACCAATATGCAAAAATCAATTAGAAAGTTGTGTTCTTGCTGTAACCAGATGTCGTTGATATTTTGCTTGTTTAGCTTGTCTTTCAATCAAATTTATAGTTGGTCCATGATATTTATGATCCGGATCCCAGTCAAGCGGATCATCTGCTGCTATGTGATTTGCCGAAAGAATAGAAAAATATTTATTAATCATTTAGATATAAATTCTTGAAATTTACTACTTTCTTTTCAAAATAATTGGCTAATAAGAATGAAAACCTGATATCTAAAAACTCGTAATAAGCATTAAAATTTCAATGGTGAACTATAGTTCAAACCAACTTAACTTGATTTCAATTTCTATTCAAGAAGCAGGAATGATACCTTAGCAGCATGTTGTATACAGTAATAAATATGATCGTAATCTGGTATACTTTCATATTCTAATGAATCAATGTATTTCATTATTGTCGAAAATTCACGTCTGGGACATTGCTTAAAAAAATCAACCATTGCTTCACCTTCACGTACCTCTTCCTTCCATTGTAGTACCTCTTCTTTATCAAGTCCCTGGAATCAGGACTATTGAGATGATTTTTGCCTGAAACCTGCTCCTACCACTTATGTTAATGTTATAATTTTGCCCCTGGCAGTCATTAATTAATAATTTGTTAATTGTTACCCACTTCACCTCTTGTTTCCTTCTGTGAGTATATTATTCCATCAGTGATTCCTCTCAAAATTTCATTCAAAAGAATGGGTCGCCATCTCGATTTAAATCTTAAACCTTCAGCTTTCTCCATGGCAAAGAACCAGCAGTCCATTCAACGGTAATATAAAGCCATGATTCAACGTCATCTTTTCGTGATTGTTCCATTTGTCGCAGCGCAGCAATTGACGCATAACGAGTTGTACCACGAAATGGAGCAGAAACACGAGGCAACCGTAAATCTTTGCTACCAGAACTATAATAAATAACTAAAGGTAGCAATTGAGAAAAACCGATCTGAAATTATCATTTTTCTGTCCTGGTAGAAAAGATCGCTGCTGTTGGGATTAAATCAAAGCTGTTTAATCACTACAGTATACCTGATAATGACAGACTCGTACTCTTTACTTTTTAGATTCTTTCAAGCGGTGACAACTACATAGCTGTTCCATTCTATTCATTGCCTACTTAATTATAGACATGCAAAATCGAGACAAAAAAGGAAACGATGATACTGAAAATTCAGAATATCGCCTATTTCCAAAGTTTCTCTGAATATCACCTGAATTGTCTACATAACCCGAAGTCAAGCATAAAAATGGTGTGATGTTCCTTGACTTCTGGCCGTCCAATTGCAAAATTGCCTGGTTTGATATCTCGATGTAAAAATCCAACAGTATGTAAATGCTCTATTGATTCCAAACATTGTTCCGCTGCTTTCAATGCTGTATTTAACGTGAAACGTTGTTCCGGTCGTTCCACCCTTAGATCCCATAAATTTCGACCAACCTTTATAAAAAACTTAGAGTTTTTCCTATTTAGAAAGATGAATCATTAGTTTTAATTTACTGCTTATATGAATTCATAGTTTTGTTAATAAAGTCGCATAATTAGCGCTTGTAAAATTATGCAAAGTTTTATAACACGATTGATAATTTGCGATCCCTCGAATCGAAATTTACCAATTTCATAATGATAAATCTAAAACGATCAGGTTGCTTCCCACGATCGATAATCTCGCAAAAATGTTTGCTTCCAAGTGATTGTGCACCACGTAAAACTGTGCAATCCATTAATAATACCTGTGGAAATTTTTTTGCATTGAAGAATTGGCTCCTTTATTATCTTAGAATGCAATGAATTCCCGAATTTTCAGAAATTTTTAAAGCAATTATTTGATAAATCAGCTTAATTTAGATTATACCCGTTTTCTAACATCCATCAGTTCACATTTCATCGCAAAAGCAGCAGAATCCGATACGCGTTTTACTTCATATACTGCTCCAAAGCCACCTTTTCCCAATAATTTTATTGACTGAACCGGTAAACTAATTTTACTACTTCCAAAAATTAACGATGAAAAGAGATTAATTTTGTTGGTGCGCCGAATATAGTTGAAGATTTAATTAATACAACGTGATAATTTTGAAATATTTCATGTTTATATAAGGTAGACTTCAACTGTCACCTCATATTCGCCTTTTTTAGTGATAATGAATTCTCCAGGTTGTGGCAATTTTTCACTGAGTTTTTTGCTAGCCATTCCCTGGAAGGAGGCAAACATTACTTCAGGGAAACGATCAGATAATTAATATCTCTGAAAGTTCACTTCTCAGAAGGTAACACATACCAAATCAAATTTTAACAACTCGCGCTTTTTATAAAGAAACTTCGTTATGGAAACTATATGTGGGCATTTTCAGAACACTAAAAATATTAATGAATGAGCTCCTTGGAATATTTTATTTTATACAAGTAAGAGAAATTAGAATAGAATGCAAATTTGAATATCCTCTACAATATATTCATTACTTAAAATTAGTGCAAAAAAGGTGAATGCAAAAAATAATAATTACATTTCTCAAGCTAAAATTCGTATGTAAAAGCTTGCATGACATCGTCCCCGGTCTGGTAAAATAATTTAACAGTAAAAATTAATTTCATCTTCAAGAATTAGTTTTCATTGGGTGACATACAGTCTCGATAGGACAGTTTGAATCATTTCTGCAATAACACACTGCGTTACTATTCCGCTCTCATATATAGCATACATTTTTTAGTTGTTTAGGTAGCATTTTACGGTTGGTCGCAGTAATTGTAGTTTGTCACTTTGATTTCACACAACAAGGGAAAGAGGGTGCGAGATGAGGGGGAGAGGATCACTGATGCTATTTCCGTACTGCGTGAACTCCGTTTGGGGTTACGTCGCAGTGAAATAGAACTCTTTAAATGGCAACTTCATGCTATTGGTCACTTCATTTTTTGACCATTTTTTTACGTTTAGTTTTTGTCACACTACAACTTTTTTTAGTTTCCTTCTTTTTCATGAGCATTTCGCGTATAAAAATCGAATTAATTTTCAGACCATGAAGTGTCCATGCAGCGAAGAGCTGAAGGAAGAAGAAGAAGGCAGCCAGAACATTGGCGAAGCATCAGCATCAGTTACATTGTCATCCAATTCATTGAACCGGAATTTAAACCATTTGTATAAGACATTCCCCAATTCAGCAAAAAATGAACGTGGTAAAAAATTGCGTTTGGAGAAAGCTTCTGTAAGTTGTTTCTGAAATTTGTAAAATTAATAGTTTGTATAAAGGGATAAGTGATTAGTTGTCAAGTAAAACCTCATTTGTTTATGACTATTAGAGACAAAAGTAGTCATTCACTTTTAAACCATTTTTGTAAGACATTCCCCAATTTAATCCTGTGAAATGATTTCAAGATGGATTCATGAAACATTTTTAAAAAATACTTGAAGTTTATTACATGGCATTTTGTCAGAGTTATTTCTTTGATTTAATCGAACTCAACGAAGAGTCTCGAGTTTGATGTTTCTACTTATTATTGCCAATATTTTCAACAGATATCCGCTTGTCGATTTTCTTCCAATAAATTGATTGGAATTTTGTATTTAACAGCTCCAATTTAGGCAAAGCGTGAACGACAAAAAATGCGTCTGAAATTACGTGAAAAACTTGGCGAAAAAGCAGTACCAAAAGAAGAGCCGCGAACGATTGAGAATACTCGTGAACATGATGTTACTGTGATAGAAGATGACGATCTAGAAGTTCGTTCGTGATTTTTTATAGCGGTTTTAGTATGAGTTCTGTAGTACTACAGAATAGAGTTGAGTTACCGTAAGATCTTGCTTCTTTTAGGAGGTATATTATATTTGATGGTAGCATTTTGGTTATTTTTTCATCCTTTAATCATATATAAGCTTTATTGGAATCATCTTTCAAAACGTAATTCAACTATTTTATCTCACAGAACTTGAAATTTCCTGCAATGGCTAACAATCAGTATGCTTTAAATACTAAAAGTACTGTACTAAGAGTAGTTGAAGAGAATGATTAATTTATCTGAAAGTGATCGATTGATGCTTATTTATTGTTAAATCTATGGCTGAAATTTTTTGCAATTTGGACATTCATAAAACTGAAGTGGCAAGTTCATTAAGTACTAAATTAAGTACATATCAGTGTCGTTTTCAAGTTATCTACTGTCTTTTTTCCTTTAGGTTCAACACGATGAAGCAACTGATGAGATGAACGCATATTTTAGCGATGAAATACCACCGAAAATTCTGATAACTACTTCACCATATGCTAAAGTGGTTAGGGATTTTTTATAATAGTTTTCAGAATAGAGAGATGCATATTTTTTAGCTGGCATAGTGTGCATAACACTGCATAACACATGATATACATTCAATTCCACCGAAGTGCCATAATATGCTAACCTTCGAAAGGCTTCAACTTGAATTTCAGTTCGCTGATTGCTGAAAACAGTTTCATATATCTTTATTCGGCTTTTCATTTTTAAGAATACATTCAAGTTCTGCTACGAATTGCAAAAATGCATTCCGAATGCTGATATATTTACTCGTAAAGGGATTCCTTTGAAAAAAGTGGTGAAGCAAGCAAAATCCAAGGAATATACTGATTTGATTGTAGTGCACGAAGATCGGAAGACACCAAGTAATTTTTGTTTTCTTTGTTTGTTAAATGAATTAAAATAATTCCTTTATATAAGTTTACGAAAATACAAGATTTTTGTGTACCTCAGTACAGAGATGTACCTCAATTTCGAATACTGGTTCAATATTAGTACTCGGAATTTTTTCACTAGTTTAAATTCCGAAACGTATATCTTTACTTTGGTTAATTCCACCAGTTATCTTTTTTTTTTGAAGTTATGATATAATTGTATCATTTTCAGATGGTATTGTTCTCTGTCATTTACCAGATGGTCCAACTGCGTTCTTCAAAATTAATAGTTTAACCTTTACAAAGAATCTCAAGGTGATAATTTATTGAAGTACCTGATTATTGTTATTTTATTCTTCTTTTGGTTCTGTAATATCCAAATTAAACAGTAACGTGTAACACTATAGATTTCATTGCTGTGGTTTTTAAAAATTTTAAGATTTGAAATTCTCATCCATCCTTCTCTCGTTTAATCTTAATTAATGCAATATTCAGCGAAAAAGACATGTTTGGATTTTAAGGAATAATGTAATTTTCATATTGCAGAAAAAAGGCGAGTCCACCACGCATTATCCAGAATTGATATTAAAAAATTTCAATACCAGACTTGGACATACGATTGCGCGAATGTTTGCATGTCTTTTTCCACAAAAGCCCATGTATTCTGGGCGACGAGTGGTTACTTTTCACAACCAACGCGACTACATATTTTTTAGGCATCACAGGTTTTGCATTATCATTATTTTAGGTAAAGAATTCATTTCCTAACGGTTTTTAGATCATTCCTTTTACACTTCTCATTTTAATTTTCGATTGTTGGGGAATATATTCCAGTTCTGCTTCTGTTCGTTGATGTAATACTTTCTTCTTAAAATTCTTTTCCTTTGATTTTTTCTTGAAAAGCATTCTCACCATTCTCTCCTTAAGATTTTGCTCTGAAACATTCTACAGCGTCTCTTTATTTTGAAATTTGAAGTCACATTTTGTAGTCTTTTTCATACATCAAGTAAAGCTGCTAACACTGGCATTAATTTTTTTCGTTTTATAAAGGTATGAGTTCAAAAGAGAAGGTGAAAAAGCGGCATTGCTCGAACTCGGGCCTCGCTTCACTTTACGGCTGAAATGGCTGCAGAAGGGAACATTTAATAGTCGATATGGTGAATATGAATGGGTCTTAAAGGTGGCTTTCCTTTCATTTTAGTTTTGACTTCATCCATAGGATTTACTTCATTATACAATTAGTTAATCAACTGTTTGATATCAAATTGAAAAGCATATTATTTTTTTGTGTTAATGAGGATTTTCTTATTTATCTTTCATTCGAATGATGATAAAGCAAAGATATTGATTAAAATGAATTATGTATTTTCAAGTGAAATCAGATAACGACAAAGATGTTTTATTTTTTTCATATGTTTTACTTTTCAGAGGCATGAAATGGAAACTAGTCGAAGGCGGTTCTTTTTGTGACAAATTTGACAAATCCGCAATTTGGCCGTTATTGTACTTTCAAATAAATAAATAAATTTGTAAACAAAATAATCCCCGCATTATATACAGAAGATCAATGTGCGCTGTGTTGCATGTTGTGAATTGCTGAGTCATTAATTATTAATAAGACACTTAGTTCATTATAATAATTAGTTTTGAGCTAGATATGCTATAATGAAGTGACATCCAAAGAAATCACAATAAGCTGAATAGTATAACCATTTGAAATTCTCTTTAAAGTGCTGTTTCATAAGTATATGAAGTCCACGTCATTTTCAATGAAGCAATTTTTCTACGCTAGGGCAGGATTATTTCCCTCCCTTTGGGAATGACCATGTCTTTTTTTCCAAGAGTTACTTCTCTCTCATTCATCAAGTAGTAAGTTACTATGTCTCATTAATTCATAATCCAGATTACTTATGTAACTGCTGCAGAACGTAACTCTTGGATTGTTCAGTTTGTACTGGTGTCGTTGACATGCAGCATTTGATAAATGAATAAAATGGTGAAATTAGAAAGATTGTTCCAATGAATACATGACATCCAGCATATACGAGAAACTACAAATGAGTTTAAATTATTAACCGAATATCTGTTCAGTCAATTTATACTTGTTAGTTATGAAGCATAAAATCATTTCATTAGTGGTATAGTTTAGACATTACTCAAAACTACTGCAATTTCAGATCTACCTGAATTCATAAGCGATAATTAAGTAAGCAAAACCTAATTTTTGGTTGAATTACAATGTAATTCATTCTTCACATTAGACGAAAACTTCTAATATTTCCTAGGATAAGTGGTTTTTTCCTTTGTAAATTTGCAACGATAATAGTCTAAGAATTATATTACCTGTTCCCTAACTGGCATATTTAGTCCACGTTGATCGGGTATGGTAATGGTGAGTAATGTTTGAAGTAGAAGTGCAATGAATGAATTTAAACCGAATACTAAGCCATATAATTCACCGATCATTTTCTTTGCTAAATTCCACCTATAAATAGATCAGAAAAGAAAAGATTACTTTCAACAAATTTCTACCTGTAAATAGATCAGATCAGAAAAGAACATTACGTAAAATTATGTAAAATACAGACAGAATTATAAATTCTATAAAATTTCATAGCTATCCAGCTAACGGGATTACACAAATCCCAAATAATTTTACTTTTTTGTTGACAGTCTTATTTTTATAATGAAAATATAAGTTTTGATATTATTTCTTATAAAGATAATATCTCATTGTATCTACCCAATTTTATCAATCCATACGAAAGCCGTAATTGTTATTCCTTAAAAAAAGTAAAAATAATTTTTTGATAAGTGAAATTTTCAAGCTAAATTAAATTTAAGAATGATTTCTTTTTAGTAAAGTAACTTGTTTGCTAGTGGAAATGAATTATTATTTATTTAAAAAAAGTCCTACAAGGCAACTCTATTTATAGTTTAAAACTAAAATAGATGAACTTACTGAGCAATGGTAATCATCACTTGATATAAACTTCGATAGCCAATATAACATGCATACATAATCCATATGGATTGTGCTTGTGAATATGTAAACAGTATCAATGTATCAATCAAAGAAATCATAGCTAATGCTAATTCACCCCATTTATCCCAATTTATTTTAGCTAGGCCCAATATGAGAATTGATATTGCAGCTGAAAGTTGCAATCAGGTTTAATTAATTTATAATTAGCTATGCAATGCCTCAAAATTTTCTTTTAGATAGATTAGCTCTGAAGAAAAGAGAGACATAAAAATTAGATTTATTTAATTCCACCTCCGTGGTTGCTATAATTAAAACTTATTAGTAACTTTTATCAATCATAGATGAGGGATTAAATAAATTTAATTTTTATGTGTTTTTATATTTATCTTCCCTTCAGAACTAATTTTCTAAAATATCATCTTATCATACATGTCTTTTGTAACTCTCTCATATGATTTGATTTAGCAATTAAAATTTTGAAATTTTCTAATTTTCGATTAAAACTACCTGTAGCAGTCAGTGCAGGTAGCTTCTGCGAAACCGTTCAACTCAAAATTTCCCAATTTTCTAATAAAACTACCTGCAGCAATCAGTGCCAGTGGCTTCTGCGAAACCGTTCAACTCAAAATTTTCTAACTTTCTAATAAAACTACCTGTAGCAGTATAGGTAGCTTCTGCGAAACCGTTGAATGAATTCGTATCACCACGTTGTACTTCACCCCAAAGTGATTGAGCATACTGAGCAACCTTTAATTTGCGCTTTTTTTTAAAAACATTATTCAGTGATTTCAGAATATTTTCCTCATACAATATTTCTCAATGAAAAAGTACTATTTTATGAAGAAAATGAATGCATAATTCTACAATACCTTCAAATGATATTTAGCATCATTGGTGTCAAATTATCAAATATGTGTAATTGATTTGCTGAATGATATTCTTAGGTAAGTTATTAAAGTTAGCTATATTTTAGAAATACCTGAAGTGACATGCATGTTGTCAATGCCCACCATATGGACCATTTACGGATAGCACCGATTCGATAGATATGTGCTAGATTGCGGCGCATTCGACATAACTGATATTTTACGTATGCGCCGTACGTCTGTGGTAAATCAAATTGTTTGACGCCCGTTTCTGAAAGAACATTGATCGTTATAAATTAGATTATTAAAAAAAATGTATGAAAAAGAAGAAACCGAAAGAACAGCAAAATTTCTTTCTGATGGAAATTGAGTTTTATGTTATTTGAATTCGAATTAATTAATTAATTACCTTTGCTCTTTGAATCAGAAAGTCTAGTAACTATTTGCTTCCAGTGTACATTCGGTAGAAACATAACGAAGATGACAACAAAACATGGCACTCCAAAACCTATACATTGCAATAATCGGTAATTTCCAATCTTCATAATTATAATTAACTGAGCCAACAGATAACTTATCATGCGTCCAGACATTATTGCTGCTCTCGAATAGCTTGTTAATCTATATGAATGTATCGAAAAGGAAAAATCAATAATTGATACTTCGTCATAAATAATTAAAACAATCATTTGAAATGACGAATAAAATTAAAGATCTTTTATTAGCAAAAATTTAGCCTTCAATTTTTGACCATAATTCGATACAAACTATTCATCAGTTATAAATAGTTATAATAATAACTTTTGATAGTTATAAATAGTTATAATAATTACTTTTGATACTGATCCTTTTCCGATTTTGAATAAATATATGCAAAAAAAGCTGTTTCGGAAGCAGATGCTGTACCATAAGCCATCATTCCTAATTTTTGTGTCCAAACTGCCGGAGAGAATACTAATATACCTCTCAAAATAATTTTCAAATAAAATTCGAAAATCCGGAAAAATCATAAGGAACGAAAAGTTATTAATGAGTTCCCGGGAGGTTTATAGAAACGTGCAAATTTGTGAACAAATAATTAATTAATTTGCATGCGAAAACTTTCAAGCAATTAAATTTTAATAATTTATGAAAAACAACTTATTAAACTTTGAATTAAGCCCACAGTATGAAAATGAAAGTGGTTTGATGAAAGTGTGATAGCTGAAATTCGATGTTAAACTTAAATTAGATTAAAATTTAAATTTTTGACTTTTAATTGAACTTTGACTTATCCAACTTATCCAATGAACTTTGACTTTACCAATAGAGACTCAAGGTAATGTAAAAATAAGAAATGCACCCCACATATACATAAAAATTTAATATACAGAGCAATTTGATTTTGGATTCCTGGGTAGAGTTTCCAAAAAACAAGATGAATGAAACAAAACCGATAAATAGTTTGTCCCACAACTTCTAACAACATCGTCGGTTTATAAAGTGTTAGATCGGTAAGCAAAAATAGTGGTACCAATGATAATAAATAACTGTAAGCGGCGAATGGATAAATCTGAAACAGGTTAATGGATATATACTAGCTGTAATGAAGTATTTGCAAAAGTTTACATCAAATTAATATAAATTATTGATTGATTTATGAAAAATTTAAAATCTTTGGTTAAAAGGTAATTAATTACTGGAGTAATTAATGATAAAATACAAAATGATTTTTCGATGAAATATAATACAAACCTCATTTACCAGTTGTTCTCGTGTTAAATTTAACATTTCATTTTGATATAAATAAATAAATGGTTCGCCAATTTTAAATTCTTTAATAAATCCATAAAAACAAATAAGCGCTGTCAGAAAACGCCACATTTTCCTACAAAATTTATCCGTCAATTCGGAAATTTTTTATCAGTAAAAGAATGCTTTATAATTGAAATTGATTGATTCGAATGGTGTTTGGATTTCGAAATTTCACAAACAAACATAAATTAGAAAATGTTAGTCCAAAAAATTGCTACCAGCGATTCGTTAGTTGTTTTTTTTTCAATTCAAAATCTACCAAATGAAAAGCTCTCCGTAGTAGTATCACAATTTACCCGTCACGAAGTTGAGTTATCTGAAATGCAATCGATAGATCAATTTCCTATCACAAATAGATTGGATGACATAATTACAAAATTTCTTTCATTTATTTTCTTTTCGATTAATTTTCCAAAAAAAAAGAAATTTAAAAAAGTGTCATCAGAGAGAGAGAGAGAGAGAGAGAGAGAGAGGAAGTGAGCCATCAACTGGAAAGTACCATTGTCTTTGTTTTAACGAAATTGATATTTAATGGTTTTTTGTGTAAACAAATAAATATCTAAATAAACAAACATAATTTTTGATAAAGTTTGAAAGCAAAAAAAAATGATTGATAAGAGAAATTTAAATAGGAATAAGAGAGATAAACAATTATATAATTAAAGCAGGAAAAATGATCTCATTTGCATAAGAATTAAATGAATTACTATTTTTAGCATATCCATTTTATAGTTAATTTATTTGCATAATAATGATAACAAAATTAAGCAATAAATAAACAACTGAAATATATTTGTTTACATATTGTATATGTAATAAGAAAAATAAGCATTATTGTTCCAACTTCTCTTCTAAAGCCTTTAATTAATAAACGTTAACTTTACCTTACTTACCTTACTCTATCTACTGATCATTTTAAATTATTCTATATGACAGTTCTCAAAAATGCTTTGTACCAATTTCTCACTCCTTTTTCTTTATTACACAAGCTGTTCTTATCTTTGTTCTTTCCACACCAAACATTCAACGTTGTTGTAATATAGAAGTACACCTTAATAACTCTACAAAAGTACACAATTATTTTTTTCATTTTTAACGATTTATTTTTAATTAGCAATAACTTTGTAAATGATAGTATGATAATATGCAAATGATAATTTTATACAGCAAAAGAAATAATGAATTTCAATTAGTGAAATATTTACATCGAAGTAAATGTGAAGGAGAAGTTTGACAATAGACAGATTGTTAAGCAGTTAAAAATTATCAATGAATTGTTATCATATCATTCTTTGTAATATACCCTCTCAATGAAATAATTATTTCGCTTATTTATAGATTTCATTCATCTTCAATTTGACCAATTGCTGAATCTTTCCTTAATCTAATTACTTTACAAAGAGATGGAACTGCAGATAATTGAAATCAAAAAAATTTGAAATCTAAATGCTGCATGCAAAACTAACAGCGTTGCATAAACTTATGAAGTGAAATGTGAATTGAACGCACTGAAGGATGCATTCAAAATTTGCAAGTTTCATTATATTTGATTATGGTTAGAAATGAATCTGTGAAATCTAAATTAGAATCAATCAATAGAAAATGAAACTTCAACGAAAAACTATCAATTACATTAATGCAAAAGAAACTTCGAAAAAATTTTAAACTTAAATAACTTTGAAATATTCCAAATATCCTTTCGTCAATGGCGAAAACTCGAAAAATTTTTACGCCACATTTGCATATATATATAATTTGTCGTATTGATCGATGGAAATACCTATAATAAACTCTCCGGAAATCTCATCGAATCCATATTTTCTTTCGTAATTGTTAGAATTAAATTTAAGAAGCTAAATTAGATTTTTTGAGAATCATAACTCTAAGCTTATTATTTAAATTAGCATAGAATGAATTAATACAGTTTGACTTTGAATGATAATAAATATTTTTCAATTATAAAACAATCAGAACATGTAAATTAAATTGGTGCATAGTAGTAACATTTTTGATTTGTTGAATACAAAATTTAAATGATTCATTTTTAAGTTTATCTTCAAAAATTTTGATTTAACTAAATTTATTACTAACACTAAAATTACAGGTGATTTAATTAATAAAATTTTAAAGTAAGTTTATCGTCTGCTTGTTATTTTTTAAATAAATTATTTCATTTAATTAAATCATTTTTAATTATATGATTAGTAATGTTTTATAATAATGCCTTAATTAATTGCATAGTTATAAGAAAGCCTATCATATAAGTATTAAAACGATAAAATGAAGATTAAAATCTTTCAATAAATATAATAACACTAATTACGAAAAAAATTAATTGATATAAAGAACAAATTAGAGTGGAAAATAAAGACGGAATAATTTTCAATGACTTGTTGGTATGATTTTTCGATTTAATCAAAGGATCGAATCATTTCTAAAATTTCCAACATTTCTAATCATCATTTCTATCATTTCATTTTATGGACTGTATGAGATTAATTTTGAAAGAGTAAAATCTCGAATAATTTCTTCAGGGTATGTTCCAATTTCATATTTCAATGAACCTTCATCTTTTAATCGTTCAAATCTCACAACAATTTTATTGTCCTATAAAATTCGATATTTCATATTCATGTAAAATTTCAATTTTTATGGGAAGCAAAAAATATGCATACAATTAATCCACCAGTGGTTATTTATGTACAATCATTGATAAATCATTGATGTAATCTATCATTGATAAAAGATATTTTCAACGATCAAATAAAAATTAAAACTTAAAAATAAAATAAAACTTAAATAGTGGAAATACAATTGAATTCTCCTAATTAAACATCTGAAACTAAATGACTAAAAAGATAAAAATTCCTCAAATAAATAAACTGTTAAAGGAAATTTGCAAAATTGATTTTTGTTCTTCGATTCTTAATGCATAAATAATGAATGTATTCAAATTTTAAATCAAACAATCAATAAAAATTTTTAATTAACTTTTTTTAAATTTATTTCAATCAATGTTGAGTGTGTGATCTGAAAGAAATTTACATCATTGTTTTATCAAAATTTAATAATTTATAAATTTCAGAATTTACAATTCTCCTCGTATTATACATACTATTTTAATCGTATTATTTGTTCATCATTCATTAACAATTATCAATTATCATTGATTATTGAATGATATTTGTTTGTTGTGATACTCTTTCAATTCTATTCATATATTTCAATTAATGAAGTTTTGCTATTATTTATAACAGATCTTTGTAGAACGAATAAAAATCTTACCGATAATGTGAATGTAAATATTTTTGTGATAAATTAAACTGTGAAATAAAATATAAATTTTTTTTGATGTAGAAAAGATATCAATCATTTTTTTTGCTTTATTTAAAACAATAAATTTTTTAATTGAAAAATTTTATTGCTCGAAGGATTTCTTTTTCTATGAAATGTATTGGAAATCTTTTTTTTACAACAATGTGGAAAATTTTATTCATTTCAAAAATTAAATTTATATTCAATAATTTATATTGAAATTTATATTCGAAATTATATTCAAATTTATATTTAATAATTAATATTCGTATTCAATAATTTTTATTCAAATTTATATTCAATAATTAATATTCAAACTTATATTCAATAATTTATATTCATATTTATAATCAGTAATTTGTATTCAAATTTATATTCAAAATTATATTCAAATTTATATTTAATAATTAATATTCGTATTCAATAATTTTTATTCAAATTTATATTCAATAATTAATATTCAAACTTATATTCAATAATTT